GTCAAAAAGTTCAAACACTAAATAGACCCAAAACCCTTGCAGCAAACACAGACCTCATGTTCAGGCAGACGAACGTGTGGTAGTCGCAGATGTCACGAAGACGTCAAGTTCAGGCAGACAAACAGTAATGTGGCAGACGCAGACGTTACGTTCAGTGAGACGAGTGCATGTTGCAACGTCATATTAAAGAATCCATCCGAACGCCATAGTATGTGAATAAGAAGCTGAATTCAGCCTCGTGTATCAGCCCCAGTCGGAGCACATGAGTATTATATGCACATTAGCATGTACGGCGATTAGCAAGCATGTGCTGTGGTAGTGACAGACAAAAAGCAAAAGATAGAACATATGTAAGGCTTTTTATGTTCCTTTTGTTATAATTAATATATCGTTTCTATGATTTGAGTCTATTTTGTGCCAATTCACTTAAATTTAGTTATGTGTTAGGCCTATGTGTTTTAGTGAACTTGGGTTTGCAGATTGCACAAGTGTAGTTAGTGTAATTATTTTCCAAAATATGTGCGTTAATCTTTAAGGAATCCCTTCTTATTTGCATTAATGTAATTGCAACATATATTAATATAAATTATGTACAATATTAAAATCAGGATATAGTACATTATTCAATAAAGAGTATAAAAATGTAGTGTTATATTGGAATACATTATATTAAAAGGTGTTTCTAATATTCTAATATTCATGCATTTGGGATTCATAACTCTCTGTGGAGAGTGCATTAAAGTGGGGGGGAAATCATATTCCAGCCCTTGTTTCAGATTTAGTTTTGCTTGCAAGTCAGCTACAAGTGCGTTATGAAAACTGCAATAAAAAAATAAATTGAGCCTGTCCAAATGTGGCAGCATACTTTTTTTTATAAACATGAAACCAGTTGGATCACCAGACTAAAAAATCTCTTTGTAAATTAGATTATTTGACCAGCAATGGATATTAACAGTCAACATTTTAGTTTTTCTGAGATGATTGCTGGCTGTAAATTGTTTGCTGAGGCATCTCTGTGTCTGTATTCTTAAATAAATAATAGATGATACTGTTAATGTGTCTGTACAAGATGCCAGTTGCTGAGTGACTGTTAAACATGTTTGGTCACTATTACACTGGTAATATTTTGTAAACAATTTGTAACCCTTTATAGAGTTGAATAAATATATATATATATATATATATATATATATATTAATATTCATATTCTCTCTGTCTGTTCTTAAAATACCTTATAGCCTGTACTAGATTTACATTAATAAAACTGACACGTCTTGTCAATTACGTACTTTTTTATTTTTATTTTTTTTATTGACAAGGGAAAATGTAAATGAACACATCTGAATACAGGATTCGGGCGGGTGATGAATGGAAAACTGCCTTCTCCACGACCACCGGGCACTATGAATATCGGGTTATGCCCTTTGGCCTAGTCAACAATCCATCTATCTTCCAGTCATTCATCAATGACGTCTTCAGGGATATGCTCAACAGGAATGTCATCGTATACATTGACGATATTCTGGTCTATTCCGAAACCCTCGAGGAGCATATCCAACATGTCAGGTCTGTTCTCAAACGTCTAATCCAGCACCAACTGTACGCCAAAGCAGAGAAGTGCGAGTTTCATCTGACATCCCTCTCTTTCCTGGGCTACGTGATTAGTCAGGAGGGAGTGGCCATGGATGAGAACAAGGTCAATGCAGTCCTAAAATGGCCACTACCATCTACTATTAAGGAGCTGCAACGTTTCCTGGGATTCCTGGGATTCGATCGTCGCTTCATCAGAGGTTTCAGCTCCGTAGCTGCTCCTCTCACAATTATGACAAAGATGACAAAGAGGCGTCTTCACTGGTCACCTGCTGCCCGCGAGGCCTTTCAGGAATTGAAGCAACGATTCACCACCGCTCCGATCTTACACCACCCTGACCCCAGTTTCCCATTCATCGTAGAGGTTGACGCTTCCAACATCGGACTCGGGGCAGTGCTGTCACAACGTCGGGGCTCCCCTGCAAAGATGTTTCCATGTGCTTATTATTCACGCAAACTCAGCCCAGCGGAGAGAAATTATGATGTTGGTGACAGGGAGTTGTTGGCCATTAAAGCTGCACTCGATGCACTCGAGCATTGGCTGGAAGGGGCAAAACATCCATTCACGGTTCTAACCGACCATCGTAACCTGGAGAACCTGGAGTAGGCTAAGAGACTCAATCCACG